TCCTTCACGACTCCCTGGATGGGGTCCGAGAGATGGTGCAACACAGTGGCTAGAGACGTTATCAGATATGGCTCAGAATAGAAACCAGTGGCGATCCTGTTGTAACATTCTTTCACTTTCTTCACAAAAGTGGTTGTATCTTCCTTAACTGAAAGAATTCTTTATGGGTGTACCTTTCTGTTTTCCCCATTATTATTATTATTGTTATTATTATTACTATTATTATTATTATTTCACTACCATACACTAATTCGTGGTCGTCATTGTTCTTCTTTTCTTATTACACGCACCTTACATTCTTTATTTCTTCCTACTCTCATTGTTATTGTGTGGTGCATATGTATTTGGTGCTCCTTTGCACCAAAATTTATGTGTTCAAATAAATAAATAAAATATGGTAAGAGATTTTACTTCCTGGCTATTTACTACATGACTGGTTAGTCGATTATAGATTGTTGAATAAAGGAAGAGTTTAGAGATGTTCAAGGTGTTCTGTTCCTGAAGTTCTCACGACTAATAAATCATTAACATAAGGATATCAGAATGTTAATCCAAGTATTACTTGGCCACACAGTCTTTGAAATGTTAGCGTGAGGCATTAATGAGCCCGAGTCCAAATCGAAGAAACACAAAACCGAATTGTGATTTTCATTTTAAGAACAACTTTCGGCCCAACTAGAATATGATAATATCCACGAACTAGATCAGCTTTCGAGAAATCTGTAGGCTTATATACATTCAAGTCATGAATGTATGGTATAAAATTATTTACTATCAGCCACAGTGTCCAGGTAATCCATCATATAATCAATATTTCACCAGAAGTCTTTAAGATCATTATAACCACTTGAAGTAAACATGATAATACTCACTTTTAGATCTGTAATTTTATCAGAAATTTAGGATAAACAAACTTTACGCTTGCTATGTTCACTATCATTTGAATCGCTGTTATCACTTGCTAAAATTAACCTATTGTTTTGACAACTTCCACTGATAAACTGATAGAGTCAATTTATTTTTAAAGGAAGAGTAAAATACTTACTAATGACGCTATTTATGAGAGCCAAATGAATTAAATATAGTAACATCTTGTTATGAACGGGGAATTAAGAAGCCCAGACAATTACGAAAGCTATTTTCTTGGGACGTTATTGCATTTCATTCAAAACCTGTAAAACACTTATATTTATTTTTGTCCCTATCTTATTCTACATAACACGAGCTTTCGTTCTATGTATCATTCACTAGCATACCCTTTTTTGTTCCAAAAATATTGTAATTTAAACATTATATTTTGCACTATATTTTCTACCCTAATTCCCTGTTTCGGGCATAACTGTATTTTTCCAAATTATCCTACGTCGTGGTCAAGATATGCACTTATTTATTCATGTACATTTTTGTAGTAATCCGAATTCAGAGAATCCAGAGTTTAGTGTTCCAACTGTCTTGTCTTCTTTCACTCGCGTGCTTGCCAACCAATCAGGATTTAGAATAGTTCTCTCTACCCCATCTCGAACTCACGCATATTAGACTCAAGGTTAAGCCACTCAGCCTAACGCGTCAAGGTCATAATTTAGACTACACCGACCAAGGTCAAGTCATAACAAGTATCACGGGGTAAAAGCGATTCAAGGTCATAACAACTGGCGACGGAGAATTTTTTTTTCTTTCCTATATTGATTGATCCAGTACAAAATGCCTGTTTCATTGGATGACCTTAAAACTATTCTTCAAATGCAGCAAGCACAAAATGATGCAAATCAAATGAAGCTTTTGGATGCATTCGCACGAATGTTCTCATTACAGTCGTCCTCAGCTTGTCAATCAGATAAGCATGAAAGCATCATAAATTCTATTTCTGAATTCCAGTATGATCCTGAAGCTAATATCATTTTCAGTTCGTGGTTTCACCGTTGTGAAGATATTTTCCGCGTTGAATGCTCGCATCTTGATGACGCAGCGAAAGTCCGCTTACTCTTAAGAAGACTGGGAACACAGGAATATAATAAATATGTGAATTTTATCTTGCCGCAAAATCCACGAGATGTATCATTCAAAGATACAGTCCAGATTTTATCTGATATTTTCGATGAACAGTCCTCATTATTTAATACTCGCTATAAATGTTTCCAAATAACAAAATCTCCAGAGGACGATTATCTCACGTATGCCGGGAAGGTAAATCGACAGTGCGAACGCTTCAAAATAAACGAAATCACAGCGGACCAATTTAAATGCTTGATTTTCATATGTGGTCTAAAGAATGAAGAAGATGCAGATGTCCGTACCAGAATGTTGGCACGCATTGAACAAGAACCAAATATGACATTACAAATGGTTACAACCGAATGTCAGCGGTTACTTAATCTCAAGCATGACACTGCGATGGTGCAACAGAAGGTTAAACCTTCCGGTTCTGATTCAATTAATGCGCTCCGATCCATAAAATCATCGAAACAAAACTGTACAAGCAGGAAACAACCTGCCAACCCCCCATCACCATGCTGGTTCTGCGGAGCATGGCATTTTGCAAAATTCTGTCCGTTTAAGAATCATAAATGCCGCAAATGTCATCGCATTGGCCACAAAGAAGGTCATTGTTCGTTAAATAAACGCAAGACTAAACATCGTAGTGAAAATTCAAAGCAACGATCAGACAGTCAAATTAAAACCACGTTTGCAACCTTTAAAGTTGGATTTAAAAGTAGGCGGAAATTCGTAAATTTATTAGTAAATGAAAAACTTATACGACTTCAGTTGGACACTGCTTCTGATGTCACGTTGATTTCAAAGAACACATGGCACAAGTTAGGATGCCCATCCATCCGACCGACGGAACATGTCGCCCGAAATGCGTCAGGAGACATAGTAAAGTTGACAGGAGAGGTCCTATGCAATGTTCAACTTATGGGAAGCAAATTTACAGATGTTTGTTATCTAACAAATCGACACGATTTAGATCTATTGGGATTAGATTGGATTGCACATGTTGATACTTTGAATAAATTATTAGATGAGGTATGTTCTCAAAATGTTTCCTATGATTCTATCCAAATCCCTAATGATATTTCTAAATCAAATGCCTCCGACGAATCATCCTCTCTGGATATTAACGAATTAAATGCTTCTGATGAAACATGTTCTTATGATCTTTCTGAATCAAACAATTCAAATGTTATGTGTTCTCACCATGTCAAATCAAATACCGCCGATTCATTGCCTTCTCATAAAATTTCCAAATCGAATACTTCAGACAAAGTATGCGCTAGTGAAACTTCGGAGTCTCATGTACTTCTTTCAAAGTGTCCACGAAAAGCTGAACTACAATCTTGGCCATCTCCAGAAAACCTTGGTCGCGTATACATGTTGATTTTGCTGGCCCATTCCAGGGTACGTACTTCCTCGTTTGTGTTGATGCTTATTCAAAATGGCCGGAGATTTTTCCTATAAATCAAATCACTTCGCAACAGACTATCATGAAGCTACGGCAGTTATTCTCCCGTTTTGGAGTTCCAGATGTTCTCGTGACAGATAACGGCACTCAGTTTATTTCTTCCATCTTCTCAGATTTCTGCAAGAGGTTTGGAGTCAAACATGTCCGTTCACCTCCGTACCATCCACAATCGAATGGTCAGGCCGAAAGGTTTGTAGATACCTTCAAAAGAGCGCTACTGAAGGCAAAAGGGGAGGGAAAGATAGAGGAGATTCTTGATGACTTTCTCTTGGTCTACAGAACAACTCCAAACCCATCAACACCAAATCAAATGTCCCCAGCAGAAATTATGTTTGGTAGAAAAGTAAGAACTGCCCTCGATGCCATGAAACCACAGCAAAGAGACATCGGAAAAAGAAACAGAAAGATGGAAAACCAATTTGATCGCCATCATGGGGCGAAACGCAGAATTTTCCAGAAAAATCAAAAAGTATACGTCCGCGATTTCCGATATTCACCTCCACAATGGACCAGTGGACGCATACTTAAGAGACAAGGGAACGTAATGTATGTGGTGGAAGTTGAAGGACAGAAGTGGACACGCCATGTCAACCACATACTGGAAAATGCTGGCACTTCACAGAAAACCGAGAAATTAGACTCAATGTGGAGAATCATTCTGGACAGTTTTGACATAAAATGCTCAGCGACTCAGAAGACCACGCAACCTGAACAAAGTCCTATTAGGAAAGCATCACGGAAACGCAGAAGACCAGATATTCTACAGGTAGACCCAAAGAGGAGAACATACGTTTCCGAAGGAAGATATCAATGATGATATCTCAGCACTTACCTGTATATAGTAACTAACCATATTTTTTTTTCTTTTTTTTTAAAGGGGGAAGGTGTTATGAACGGGGAATTAAGAAGCCCAGACAATTACGAAAGCTATTTTCTTGGGACGTTATTGCATTTCATTCAAAACCTGTAAAACACTTATATTTATTTTTGTCCCTATCTTATTCTACATAACACGAGCTTTCGTTCTATGTATCATTCACTAGCATACCCTTTTTTGTTCCAAAAATATTGTAATTTAAACATTATATTTTGCACTATATTTTCTACCCTAATTCCCTGTTTCGGGCATAACTGTATTTTTCCAAATTATCCTACGTCGTGGTCAAGATATGCACTTATTTATTCATGTACATTTTTGTAGTAATCCGAATTCAGAGAATCCAGAGTTTAGTGTTCCAACTGTCTTGTCTTCTTTCACTCGCGTGCTTGCCAACCAATCAGGATTTAGAATAGTTCTCTCTACCCCATCTCGAACTCACGCATATTAGACTCAAGGTTAAGCCACTCAGCCTAACGCGTCAAGGTCATAATTTAGACTACACCGACCAAGGTCAAGTCATAACAAGTATCACGGGGTAAAAGCGACTCAAGGTCATAACACATCTATAACCAATTTAATTTAAAAGACCTCCAGAAATTCTAATAATAAGTCTAGACGATAAAATTAGTAGATGAAAGAATGAGCAACAATATAGCTTACTAGAACTTCGTTGCATTTCTTTGAAATATCGATAACATTGTCGTAGGACCCATATTCGAATATTTCGATCATATCCAGCAGTAGCCTTAAGTAAAATAAAAATCAATAGTAACAAATGAAAAGAATGAAAAATGACATGTCTATGATGAATTTTCTTTACCAATAGGACATATAATTGTACGTAAAGATATAATGAATTTGCTTACTGATGAAGTATTAACATAGCTTTAAAAAGTCTGTTAAAAATTACACATAAATGAATTTCTTGAATTAATATGATTGAAGGTGTGATAGTGATGGTAGTGATGAAGGGAGATTTACTTTTACCTAACTAGATCATTAAAAACACTGCTTATTTGTTCAGTTGTTTTTGATTAAAATAATGCAGACTATTTACTAAGTGAAAATGTTCATGTTGTGTACAGCTTTGAGCTGCACAATTTTTCTTGTGAATCATGTTATAAACTTATGCTTTTAGAAAATTTACAGAACTATAATTTTTGTTCGAATTGCATCGGAATTCTATTTATCCTCACTACTTACCATTTTGCCTCAATAAATAATCCCATCAACATATTTCCCGAAAACGTTTGACATTGTAGTTTATACGATTAGAAAAATATTAAGAAATAGTATCCAATTATTAAATTGTCCCATTAGGAAATGCCAAAATGATGAACAGAGAATGTCGACTATGTATACTTGAAAAATTAATTATCAAATGTAAGGTCTTAGTCTATAATTGTTTCACTAAGATATCGAGACAAAAACAGGTACTGCTATTTGATTAAGCAATATTATTTCATGATGTCATATCAATTTAGATACAGATGTACAAACATATAGTTCAGATTCGAAAAGTATTTTAACAACATTATGTCCATAGGGTAATTTTCAGAAAATAAGTGATTAATCTCTAGGTAAGTTATAAGGGTGAGCAGTTAAGATGTATTCAATAATGCTAATAATAATTCAAGAATGTAACGCTACATTTTCCTGCTAAACATAATCGAAATATATTGAATATGTAATTTGTAATAATGATTACTAGTGAATAAGAAAAGATAGAAGAAAAATGGGAATAAGTCAGATCGATAAATGACTTTATTGTTGATATCATGCAAAATAAACAATAATAATTCTTTTATGGATACAGTGAATACAAAATATCTTCGTAATGTATGGAAAAAAAGCAAAGTGGGTGTTATTGAGAATTAATCGACTGGAGCATATGAAAAGTGTCATAAATGATTATTACCATACTTTTTTGTGAACAAAATTATAACTTACCAACAATCGACCACATGGTGAAAAACGCATAGCCCATATCGCACCCTAAAGTGAAAGAAATATTAGTAACAATAAACTATAGAATTTAAAGATGATACTGATATTGAAAGGAAACTCTACACTATATAACACTTTAAAAGTGTTTTAACGTTAAATAGGTACACAAGTGAAGAGAATATTGAAGTATCACTTCAAGATTACTTTTATGTATATAATACAACGCATAATTATATAGTTTTTTACGATTGTGAAAAGTAATTAAATCAGATAGTTCATCCAACTTCACAACCAAGAATAAGAGCTTATGGATTTACTTTCAACTTGAGAATCAAAGCCAAGCCGTTTACAAGACAGGTCATATATATATATATATATATATATATATATATATATATATATATATATATATATATATATATATATATATATATATATATATCAGACGTACAGTGATTAAGAAATAGACAATAAGACAATCAAAAATATGTATCAGTATGTCAAAAATAAAGCACATCTCTTCTAAGTTCGTGATTATTTGATGCAAAATAAACTCAGTAAGTTACAACCAAAAAAGAGAAGGAATTAAAATTAATTAATTAGAACATACTAATGTTAGAGCTTCATAAAAATGCATAAATGGATATGGACTATGCAATTAGAGATTATGGGGGCTCGTAGAAAGTAACAAAAGTATGCCTAGTGACGTCCAACATAAAAACATAGCAGTGGTAAGAAGATTTTATGGGAGTGAGGTAACTTTTATTTTCTACAAATCGCGGTTAATAAGACAGTAAACAGGTTACCTAGTTTTAGCACTATTTTGTCCAATTCACATTTATTTATTTAAACACAAATATTGGTATAAAGGGACACAGAAATATATATGTGCCACAAAATAAAGGATAGCGAGCATAAGAATAAGAAAGAACAAAATGAATTAGTGTATGAGAGTGAATAATAATAATAATGATAATAATAATAATAATAATAATAATAATAATAATAATAATAATGGGAGAATCAGTTCAGTTAATAAAAATACAACCAGAATGGATTCTTTGAGTTAAAGAAGTTCCTCTCACCTATATGAATTAAAAGAATATTACAGTAGGACCGTCACGGGCTTCTATTTTGAGCCAAGTTCGAAAACGTCTCAAGCAACTGCATTGGAAAATCCTAAGAACGCCAGCCAGGGAGTGACACAACCCGGTTACTGGAGTGCACATGTGGTGCATGCTACTTATATTGACAGATATGTAAAGGACAATTGATGGAAGATTTGCCAATGAAGTATTTAATGTATGGTTTTCACAGTTTAGGAAAGAACTCCGTAATTTTGCGTTAAATGTGTATAATTTGGTTTTCCCCATCTGACATTTATTTCACTATACAAATAATTATGTCGAGCTTGAAAATCAGCAACAGAATTGTTTTGGTAGCTAACGTCTTTGCTAGTTCAGAAGGGGTTAAATAAATTTGGGCCCTAAGTATAAGTTATCACACTGATCACGTGATTTAATGACCAAAGCATTTAAGAACACTTTCGGTATGTACCATATCTTTTCAAAATGACTTGAACCTACGTTTTACCTATAATGAAGGTTAAATGTACACGTTGCTAACCCCGACGTCAACATGCTATATTTGTATTGAAAAGTTTTTAATTTCATCGTTGTTACCAGGCTGAAAAATACTAGATAAACAATCCTACTATTAGTGACCAGTAACCTCCTTTTGTTATTCTGGTCATATAGTTTCAAACACAATGACAAATACGTCCAAATTTACTGAACAGGGCTTGTACTCGTCTCGTACATGTAAATGAAACTACATAAATTATAGCTAAAAAGTCGTCTTCATGTTCATGAAAGGTTTATAAAATATTCATCGCTCCACTGGCCTAAAAAAACCTAACAGATGATAGTATTGTGGTGTGTGTTACTAATATCCGTCAATCAGACAGCTACAACGTGGGACCAGGCATATATATGCATCGGTCCAAGTTGCCACACCTCATTAACACAACAAGATGAATATCAAATTCATGGAAGTATTCACTTCAATGATAGCAATTTATAAAAGAAAGATTGTGTATAAGGGTACAGGAAGACAGAATTAGTTCGTAGAAAGATATAAAGCTATTTAAATCTTACTGATGTCGATAGATATAAGTAGTATGTATCATCAATCGAAAGTGAAATGTCTGGCAGCCGAAGGTTAAGAAGATCGAAAAACAGAGAACGAGAATAAAGAATGATTGCTGTGGAAATGAAGGAACAGTGAAGTCTGAGACGATTGATTGACATTTTGCAAATTAAGTATTTACTATATGGTTCTCAGATTTTACTAAGATGTATTGTAATTTTGTGTTCAAATATATATGGTTGTCCCCTTTTGTGTTGTCGTTCACTACAGTATTACTTCTTCTTACTCTTTAGTTCTTTTTTTTTCTTTGTGTACTTATAGTGACTATTCACACATTTGTTATTATGTAAATTTTAATGTTTACTATTATTATTATTGTCAATGCATAATAACAATGAAAATAGAAGGCAAAACAAATAAAATTAAGTATGTAAAATTGGAATATACTCCGCAAAATAAACGAGGACAATAAGAATAAATAAAAACAAATTAAAATTAGTAATAAGATAATGAGTGACAAAAATAAAGTTTAGGGTGAAAAAAATGCATTCATTAAACAGAAATATGCATCTAAATATGTGGACTGACTAGGACAATATGAAATTTGAAAAAACTGTAGTTACTGTAATTTCCACAATTCCCCATTCTGACATTCACTTGTGTTCATCTTTCATTCAATATATTTCATAACAGGATTTCACTTAATATTTACATTAACATCCTTTTTCCTACCCATCTTGTTTTTGATATTAGATCAATACAACAATTAATGTGTTATTGTTATTACCATTTCATACTAATCGTGGATTGATTAAAGTTAGACATTAAAACCGTTGGGTTCCGGCTCAGCGGTCTAGAGGTTGAAAGTTCACGCGAGACCGGAGGTCCTGGGTTCGAATCCCGCGTGTGTGGTTATGGATGCGTACTGCCGATTAGTCTCATATTACGGAGAAATGGCCGTCCAGTATTTCCAGGTTTCCAATGTTGGTCTAACATTAATCGGTCCACGATCTCGATTAATAATAATATTTTTATTAAAGATTACTATAATTATCATTAAGATGACCGAGACGATAAGGCTGACAATTCAATCACAGAATCAATATCCACAAAAAAATCAACTGGATAGACCCATCTCTCGGAAGATAGAAAATTATCAGTCAACTAATTGAACAAATACTTCAGGATACTAAAGTTGACATTTATAAACAAAATATTAAGTCAAGACAACCCAACACTATTCGAAATAACAAATGATGTTGCACTTCTCTTCATTATATCAAGTTACTTCTACTGAACTATATGGAAAGTGGTTAGATACGTACATATATATGAGAGGTCATAGGTATGGTTTATATCTGTTTGTATCAGATTCAACGTTGCTATTATTACCTCGAGATCTAAGATCCCAAACATGAAAGCCATAGAAACAAACAAAACTTCATAATTTACACAATGTATACAAATTAATCAGTCAGCTGAAACGTAGGACCAGGCATATATATGCATCGGTCCAAGTTGCCACACCTCATTATCACAACAAGATGAACACCAAATTCATAGTAGTTACTTCAATTGTAGTAATATATAAAATAAAGGTTTTAGCTAAAATATTAGTTAACCCAATCGCTAAAACTAGACCACCATACTTAAAAATATCTGGAGCTAATCCATCTAGACCAGCTGCTCTTCCTCGTTTCAGATTAGCTACAGCCTTTTGAACTTCAGCTGGAGTCAGGGGACCTACTTCAATTTTCCATTCATGCTGTTTGAGAATGGCGGGTAGTAGTAGAGTAATTGATGGCCAACTGAACTGCTCCTTAAAGTGTTCCGCCTATCGTTTCCCGACCATTGCTGCTACCTTGACGTGATGGTTGGGCTTGCCTATCGTAATGAACCAATCGATCTATACTGGCTGAAACAATCGTTCCTAAAGGTTCTACCATACCGGACAGGTCGGTTGAAGAACGGTAAGGCTAAAAGCAGTAAACCCAAGGTCCGAGGCGAAGTCATACTTTTGACTATACAGAGGTGTGACAGCAGTAAGGTGTTTCCTTCAGACAACCAGCATGACAGCGATGCTGCCTTCGCACAAGGAAAGGTGGGGTTAGAAAAGGTCGACCCGAAAAATGCACACCTCGCCTTATCCCACGGGTATCCGTCTACGGAGGTAAGGTCTCAACAAGTACGGGCTAACACGAAAATTACTCACAAAAAGGTCGTGTGTGACCGACCTCAAGCAGTTGTCCCTTGGGCACTCCGGTCACGCTCTCAGGTCACTAAGACCACCTCTAATCCAACTTCCTTTTCAGGTACCTCCATACGAACCCTTCCACAGTGTGGGCAGCCGGGAAGTGATAACCACCCTTATACCTCTAACAGCACTCAACATCACTGTATTCATAAACAAATTAGGGTTTTAACTCGATACTATTATTATTACCAAGAAACTAAGCGAAAACAAATAGACTAACCGTGTGCTCATTTTTCATTTCTTGAACCAATTTGATCTGTAAAAATTCTCGTCTTCCTCTTGCTTGTCTAGATGATCTTAGCTGCAAATGAGAAATACAAAAAAAACATGAACATTATATTTCTCAGGGTTGGTGACTTTAATCTTGGACGAACTTTTAGAGATAACATCATCTAATCTTTCAGGGATTAATTTCCTACCGGGAGGTAACATTATTGACTTAGAATGCGTAGATGACACAGTTCTGTTTTATGAAGACAATAAAAAGATGAAGTCTTTTGAGCCGCTTGAGCGGCTATGCAAACATTTTTGAGATTCAGAAATATAGATTTATTTCATTCACTATGTCGCTTGTGGCATGAAAGGGCTAGTCGCCTTCCAACAAAAGGGAAGATTACACTGTTCGGCAATTTGCTCAGCAAAAGTCCAAAGCTATGAAACAAGAAATGGGTAAAATGTCAGTACTTGATCATAAGTATCTTCGAAACCTTGATCATGTGTGACGAAATAACCGAATAACCGATAATGAGGTACGGTATGTGATGCTAGGCGAAAATAACATATCGGTTAATTTGATTATAGATCTTTATAAATCTCGGCCGTCGGAAATTGTATAATTTATCCCATCCATCCCCAACATTAACCTGGAGTGACAACTAGGGTAGAAATAGGTTGAAAAACTATAGGTGGCTAAACCAGGTAAAGATCCCTGCAACTGATTTCGAGACAAATTAAATATAAGGGTTAGCGAAGCTACCTCATCGACCAAACCAGAGTGGATGAAGTGGAGTTTGAACGCTTGAATTAGCGGTCGAAAGTCGAAGTCCTCAACTATTGAGCCACACCATCGTTCACCATGAACTGCTATAATAAAAATCATCATATTTGTTACTTTACACAACAGCTGAATAGATAATGAAGAAATCTATGTTTAGAATACGCTTAGGATGGCTCCAACTTCAAGCGCCATCGTCTTGTAGGTATATCTTTGAATATTAGCATCATAGCAAATTGACCCTGTAACAGCTTTTACTGTATTGAACAACTATGCGGTTTGTTCTAAGTCTGGCATATATTAATTATTCTAACCTTTCCAGTCATCAATCATTAATATATGTGACCTTGAGCACGAGTGTATGGTAGTATATAGGTATCGATATACTTTCATTTCTCATGCCTATAAATGATGAATGTTTTAATTAAATTAAGTTTGCTTTATCTACTTCTTTTTGGATTATCTGTCTACACCAAAGGATGTGTGAAATATATATATCCAAAATTATCTTTGATTTGTTTTATTCTGTCATTCGCTAACGCAAACTAAGTCGATAAAAAATATACGGAGTTAAGGGAGATATATGCTTTACTAACACCATTATCATCACGCGATCATAATGGAATTGAGTCAGACAATAGGCACTAAAGATCCATCAAACTTGGTTACAATGCGAAAAAATAATTTACAAGAGGCAGTAGAAAATACTTTTTTAGTTAATGTAACTTAATAATTAAGTACAATTCTGCGTACACATAGTTCAGTCAGTTTTTTTATGCAATAGTTAAACTGAAGTAGATTAAGTAGGGTGGGTTATCATATCCTTATTGATGATTGAAAATCGGATGCTTAAATCATTAAGTTATTGGCAATAATACAAATAAAAATATAACCTACACGAATGCCTTGATTTCCGATAATTTCTTCATCTTCATCAGATGACTCTTCATCGGGATTGAAAACTTTTAAAAAAACAATGGTAAATAACATTAATAAGACTAAAGGTTAATTTACACTTAAAGACTAGTCGATAGGAGTTTAATGATATTAGATAAACTGGATATAATTAACAGAAAGCTGTTACGCGTTAGCAACGGTTACCAGCAGTCTTGAAAGCACTAATTCTCCTGTATTACACAGTTTGAGGCGTAATTAATGTAAAAGTCTCAGCCCCACAGCAAGCTAGTTGAAGCCTGAACAGCTCAATGGTAACGTCTCTGGCTGTGAAACTCAGTGATAAGGATTCTAATTCAACAAGGAGCATCGATTCCCTCAGGATTGCAAGTACATATCTTTGAAAAGTGAAAAATGATACAAAATCTAGGTTTACGGCATCCTTTCGACTGCTGGCAACTACCAAACATCAAAACATAATGAACACAGGATGTCAAATCACTTAAGCTTATGACCATATTACAACTTGATGTATGGAATTTTTTAGCGGGACACAGACTAGATTAAAACATGCTCAATGCACGATTGCTTTGGTGCACGCTGATTGGCTAATTCCTATCCAATCAGCACTAGTCGATAGTTGGAGAGTACTCTGGAATCTTCTCATGTAAAAACTATAAATATACTGACGTTTTCACTATTGTGCTTCTTACTTGCATCTTACTTTCATTTAACCTTGTTATTTGGAATATAATCTCTTTCCTGTTCAACCGTGTTCTGATTTGGGGACTTGTCGAGTGAATCGGTGTCCAAGAATACTAAACAATAGGAATAGCTGGGTCATAACCGTAAGAAAGAGATTATAACAGAATTCAACCAGCATTAAGGACTAAAAAACATAACACAGATTATTACTCGATAGTTTAGTGTAAAAGTTTGATAAAGACGGTGGAATAGATAGTGATAGCTATAAAACTAAAAGATAATCAAAAAACATGGTCTCGATGTGTTGATATGATATGATTACTTGGGATATTGCATATTTGTGTCAGACTCTATCTTGATTACGACACAAATAAATACATATAATTTTTCATAAGACTTTGTTAGCGACAGACGTTTTTATCGATTTCGAAGCTTGATATATTATTCAATTTTGATCCCCTCAATATTCGTACATTGATTACGATCAAGGGGGTGGAAGACTAGGATTAAATCACGAAAACCATACCCATAATGCATGATAATGTCTTTGAAAGATTTAAATTAAGAATATAATGATATTCATGAAATAGAAACATGTAGATATGAAAAACATAATTCACGTGAGTTTATTCGCTAAACAGATTAGAAAAACATGTGAAATCTTAATGATGTTAATGAATTATTAAGCACAAGAGGAAGTTATATACAATTAGAGTAGTGTACTATTAACAAGTGTACCTAAACCAAAAAGATGATTGATCTAATTTTACAGTTTCAAACTATTTACAAAATAAAATTTGAAATTAATCACTAATATATTTTGGCGAGACTATAATTTATGGATGAACCAATCAGATTGAGGATAACAGGTATTGAGTTTTGGTGCGGAATTCATTCATCCATTTGGTCAAATAGAGTCTTGACATTATAGCTGATGTCAGTTCGTGATGAAAACCTTAAATCTAATTCCTAAACTTGACCATCAACTGTAAATCATAATCCTTATTCTTCAAACTACTACTTTATAACCCTCATTTAGCCCTAGTAAGTAGCTAGATACTGTCAAGGTCACTTTAGCGTCGCTCAAAGGTTGTCCATAAATTATCGTCTCACCGATTAATAACCAAATAGTAAATAATTTAAATTGTTTATTATTTAAAAATTAGATCAGTTTCAATGGTAAAATACCATTGAACATAACAATGATGATTAAAATTGAAACAAAACAAACTAACTTTTATTTTTTGTAGCAGATTTCATTGCACTCATAGCGCCACGAAAATATTTATGAATTTTTGTCATTTTGCTTAATTTTAAGGAAGAGAAAACTAGAAAATGTAATTTTGCATACATTATAAAACTAATGATAATGAGTACTTATATAATAGTATATTCAAAGAAGAAAATAATAAGTGAACTTAGATCAAAAACTTGATTTAGCTAAATTTACGCTATATCTATCTAATTTCTCTGCAAAATATTGTGCATTTGTGGCAGTGTACTTATTCAAACTGTTTCTATTGCTTAAAATATCTCAATAAGTTCATGGATGTCAGACTCTTCACAGATAACTCATCGTTTCATGTTTCATTGTACTCAAATCATTCCAGAGCTCTCACCCTTCATTACTAATTCGCAGTTCAAAAACAAAATGAAGCAAGAGACTAAATTTAGTAAATAGAGAGGTTGATCTGAAATAATGACTGAATTGCAGTCCATAAACTAGCGGAAAACCAGTGTTGAATATGAAAGCATAATATCAGGATACAGCAACCATCCACTGAGACTACACAGATTTGATTTAATATGATCCTTTAAGTACTTGGGAATTTTTATACAGAAGACACCAGACATTGTCTGATCTACAGGAAGGGATTTTCGACGGTGATCAAACGACTCTAAAACTATCGTAAACCTTTTAAGTGACATTTTTGCGAGAAATAATGAATTCCTAAGTGGCGATGGTTCAAAAGTTATGTATGTAACTCCATAAAATTTCTTTCACTTATCTAAAAATTAGTAAGACGAAAAAACTCCCTTAAGGTTTCACACTGTCATATGGTGGATGGGATTTCATCCATTCTCAACAAATATGGTAGACCATATATTCCACTACTTATTCTAAAACTGTTTACTCTCTCTCTCTCTCTGGAAACAAGTAATTACCGTTACTGTTGAAAGACCGCACACGTTACACGTTACAAATCCGGAGATAAGACTGACATGAGCAATGATCAGCGCATAAATATTACTCCAAGACAATGGGAAGGATTGTTGGTGTCGAACTCTCTAACTATTTAATCACTAAAAAAACTTATCACTGACTCTCAACATGGTTTCATTAAAACTCGATCTCGTATGAGCTGCCATGGTGGCTTCTTTAATTTCGTTTCTACTCGACGTAACCGTGGTTATCTAACCTTAAAGCTATACCTTGATATTTCTGAAGCTCTTGACATAGTTAACCATCAGCTTCTTGTAAGAAAACTGATCCCTTATGGGATCAGAAAGCCTCAGCTTGCTTGGTTTCTTTCCAGTTACCGACACCAAATAGTCAAAATAAATTACTCCTTTTCGGATGCTGCCGCGGTCAAAAGTAGGATAATACAAAGTAGTTTCTTAGGCTTTTTGCTCTTTTCAGCTTATATAAACGATATTGACGATAATAACACCTCGGAATAGTGATAATGAATATATCATCAGCATAGATCAACTGCACAATGTATTGCATGAATGATCGGTAGTGAATTAAAAATGTCAGATGTGAATTAAAATTATTTTGAGTATACAATTCTGTTTGAATAAATACAATGATAGAATAAAGGTACATAGCCAAGGTGCAAACGCGCACACATTTTTTGAATGCCTTTTACACTCCATAAACTTTAAAATGATGTTGCAGAGTTAAAATACGTCGATTACTGTTTTCTTAATACTAAGTGATATGACTAAAACATTTAAACAACTACATATCTAGAAAACCACATCAATCACTGGATGACTGATGACTTAACATTTTTTAATTATCTTTAAAACCGTTGTGGTCATTACTCAATTTACCTATGATTGATTTATTTCCTATTGAATATAGTTGTGTTAACATCTGACATTAGGGGGAAAATAAGAAAACGATGGAGAAAATTGGAAATCTTTTAATCTAGTTTTGAATCCCACCTGCACTTACTTACGCCCCTCACACAGAATAGAACTCATAACCACAGACTTAGAGTACAGAAGCTCACATTGCTGAATCTAACCGACTTCCTATATTTTTATTTTTTTTTTGGTTACTTGTAATGATATAGACTTCCGAAAACAAAATAATTAAGGGAACATACTAACCTCATTACTCCAATCGAGTTATCTTGAGATGACGTGGAGAAATCAATGGATTGTTTGTCACCCAATGAAGTCAACGGTAAACTTGAATTACTGAATACAAGACATAAAATAAAAAAATACAACAAACCAGTAACAGTATTGTAAACGGAAGAGCAACTGAATAGATTCATATATTGTCGTAAGCGAAACTATGACGGTCGATGTCTTATCTGGTTGTTAGGGTTGATACAATGAGAGAAGTGAAATAGTTTTTCGAAAAAAAAACATGTGAATAACACATTGCTATAGGTCTGAAAACTTTTGATCCCAACTATCAGCATTATTGAGGACCAAATAGGTCATAACTTTTGTTGATTCACAAAACTCGCAATACTGTCAAAATATTTTGCTGAAATAAATCATTTTATTAGAAAATAAATAATTAATTAATTTTCTATTACTACACTCAGTATAGGTCGTTAACAATTTTCTGCTTGGTAAGAAATACTTAGAAGGCACTAAAGATTGTATAATTAAAGACTTCTAACATGAAATAATCTTGACAATCACACCTCAAAATTCTGTAACTGAGAAGAATGTACATCAAACTAAACCTTTGGTAGATAGACAAATAAATGTCTGGCTGGTATAATGAGGGCTAAATTATCCAGCCACTACAAGTAGTAAGATACGTAGACCCTAATCAGCTATATGTACATATTGAAGAAAATATTGCTTGCAATGGGTTGAAAAATACTTAAAGAATAATAAAACACCAAAATATTTATATTTTAAGGGGAATCCTAAATGACAGTCGAGAGTCCTGAATCTTTTACCTTTTACATCTGATTGTGGCAAACTTATACGTCTTACGTTCATTAATAACCTCCAACTAGATACTTATAGTACTTCACTGACTATCAATTTTCATTGTGTTCTTAATTGAATCGTCGTGAGAATTCACTTAATCAGCAAACCGTAAGATTCTGTTTTTACCTACTTCGAGAAAACATACCAATACTTCCAATTAGCGAAAAAATGAGACTAACTTGCCTTCTAGTTCGATCACGAAATTGTATCTCAATAGGATTTACAGTTTGATACTGATTGTTCAATGTGGCTGAAGCAGATTTCACAATTTTATCACTACCAATAGTGTTGTTGTAATCAGTAGGAAACTTATTCATTAAAGTGTCACGATGGAAACGATTCAATATTTGTTCATTTGAATCATTATACTTTTCATCTACATTTAAATCCGTTTGCACCATAGTACTAACTAACCTACATGGACGATGATGAGGGAAAGGATCCTGAATTTCAGAAGTTTGATTGTAAGGAGGGGCAGAGGAAGCCGTGGTTGTTGTATTTATTGCAACAGCAGCAGTAGTAGACTGTGGAAATAATGATCCAAATCCCGTACGACCTAATGCTGTAGTATACAATGAATCGAATCCGATTGAGCCCATTTCGTCTGTTTGATGTTGTGGAAGGTTATTATTTGCTAATTAATTATAAGCCAGAACACAGTAACAAAAATAATTTTAAAAAAGTCATAATTGAGTCATAATGTTTCAAAGACTAAAAGCTAATGTAAATTAAATGATGAACCCAATTTCAATAAAAAAGCTGGTAACTCAATAACAACTAACTGGTTATCAAATAATACAATGTGGATGAAGCAATTGAAGCGACGGCTAAAAACCAATATTTATTGGTAGTTTGATGACGGTTATCTTTACATGTAATTAATTACTTGTTAACTTATATGATCACAAATTAAGAGTATTTTCTACTGTCTGAATTCTCCAGTACGGATTATGGTACGATTTTACAATGACGTACGCTTTAGTCAAGAACAAGAACGACAAATGACAACTTCGAATAATATGAACTTTCTGGGAATCTCAATAATGGTATGAAGGTCGGAAGGATGACGATTATATATATAATGTAAATACTTAGACTAATATAAGAATGCTTCTATATGAACTTGCCATCTTGGTTGGTTTTTAGGAAACAAGTAAATAACACTCGTAAAATTAAAATAATAATCCAGACATTTTATGAGAACTATGTTCCTACATTACTGGCTGACTCAAGTTTTAACGAATATGTAATTCGTAATGATGTTATGTTGGCTACGTGTTCCTTAGTGGTTTTAAATTTGTATCTTTCTCATCAATGAGATCTAATATTTGACTATTGAGTCACCACAATGTAGTATTAATCGACCATCACCGACCATTTATGGCATCACTAAAATAATTATACAGGGCTTTTCACTACATATTTAAACTGACAATATATATAAGCACGGAAAATTCACAGTCCAATTTGAATCATCATTAGTCGACGCTCAAGTACCCTGTCGGTCGATATTTTGGACCAATAAATAAACTGTTGCTTCGTTTGAATTGAGTCATATTGCTCTCGTTTGTCCCAGCTGTATAAGTCCTGATAATACTACCATAATGACAAATCGACTCCAAGTTTCTCACATGAGCAGACTAATTGTTCCGAGCTTGAGTTTAACTCGGAAGATATTTAACATTGGCTAGTGAATAAGAAATCGAAGACGTAAATTTAAGGATTAAGCATGATATGACCAACTGTATAGTTTGACCCAAGAAAATTTACAAACGAAAATAGATTTTGAAATAGATTTATGAACTCACTGATACGATCTAATGTAACAGTTCCGTTAATGGATGGAAACGGTCCAGCGCTCTGAAATAAGGAAAGAGTAAATTAGTAGCAATATATTATGCATAAAATATGTTATTGACTAGTATGAGTCCTTGATACCTACCCACTGCAATTAAGTGTTATTTAATCATAAGTGGTCCAAACAAGGACGGTCGTTCCTACAAATTTGGAACTAGACTGCATGTCAATTCTCAAACAATTTTAACCATGGTCAGCTGTAACTCAGCAAAAATTAGTGCAAACTTTTGCACTCATTTTAAGCTCAACAATAGTGCAAAGGTCAATGACACGGACTGGTTATCGAGACCGGGGTAAGTGGGATATGGCTCTATTCAACGATACAAAGATGAATGATTTGGCCATTAAGCCACTGTATTGCGTAGTATCAAACAAACTAAGAGGTAAACTTCTCAAGGGTGAACGATACAAAATGGTGAAAACATCCTAAAAGATTATGGTTTATTCAACTTATTTCGCCAAACCATCCTGTCAATAAAAAAATAGTGGGAGTGACCATATGATATGTAAAAAGCTGACATTTTTTCGTGTTTTACACTGAAGCACAAACCAGTTGCTAAGCTAGGTGCTCATCGCCCGACAATTATTATATAAGAAGGAAAGTAGTATGTCAATAAACATACTAGTGTTGTTCCAACAGCAGACTAGTAGCTTCTTTCATACGATAGTTGTTAAACAATACATTTTATTTGTTATTTCATCAGCAAGATAAAATCGAGAACAGCATCGAAAACAAAAACACATCTGTATTTACCACCATATGTTCAGAGACTAAGTTAAATGAAACTTACATATTGTTTAGCCGCACCTAGAGACCAAGATTTGACATAATCCAAGAGATGTTTAGCCTCATTATTTCTATTTGATACCTCAGGTGCCGAAGATACTACCTGTGATCTGAGAAGCTGAATGACTGGAGGGTCTGCACGTTCAACAAAATTACAGTCTGCAACTTCATTCATAATAGGATGTGTATATTTATATACTGTTGGAGTACCAGGTGCCGCATTTGAACAACCACATATGCTAACATTCATAGGAGATCTGAAGCCACATTCATTGGGATACCTTAAGGACCCGTTGTCCCGGAAAATAGTCTGTGTTTGTGCAAACTGTGTTTTCGATAACTTCTTTTGAGTACTGTCAGTATCCAGTAAGTTTAAGTGACTATTTATGGATGGTTCTTGAACTTGAATGTATGTCGATAAACCTCAAAAAAAGATCAGTAAGGAGAATAAAACTTAAGGGATAGGCTATGAACACAACCAGATAGGTCACTAAGGTGCTGATCATTTATTCATATAACCCTACACTTTTGAGAGCAATACTAAATAATTTAGCTGACATCATTATAACTAACATTACAGTCGACAACAGTTGATATACATTTTTACAGATCTTGTGTTTAACTGGTTACGGTTGTTTTACTTGTATTTTGGCCGAAGAAGATGGAGTGGGAATTAAATATTTAACCTGGTCTTTGAAGATTGAAAGCTATAACTAGTAGGCAAACTTTCCACAAACCAGAAGCTGACTTTGTGGTCATACATATTTTCAAAACATTTCATGGGAGAACACTTATCTATAAAAGGGGTCTCAGTGATGATACAAGAGATAGACAGGTGCTGCTTGCTGTTCTATGAGAAAAGGAAGAAATAATATTACTAAAAGGTCTCTACGCCAACCAATAGCTGCATTCAAAATTCACAATGAGTTAGTGATACGAACAAGTGGAAAATGAACTACTTACTTGGGTTTTCCTGTTGAGAGTTTAAGAAGCCAAAAGCAGGTTCGTGATGCAGTTTGATTCTGCGCAATATCTCCTGATCTGAAGTGAACTCATTTTTACTGCCTGGAAGATTCAGAACTCCAATTTCAGACTGATATGTCTCAACCGTCGGAGATATGTGATCACCAACATTTCGGGATAGAATCTATGTTTATGCATTAGGAAAAATTTATCAATAATTCATTTGTAAAACAAAAATAAGGTTAAACAGTACATCAAACAACCAAAGACAATTATCACTGAACTTGTATATAATAACTATAAAGGTTAGATAGTCATACTTACTCAACATTTTACCGATTCTTCAGATATTAAAACTCAGTAATCCACATCTAAGTAAAACGATGCACATTAGGCAGCTAATATTAAGTTATTAAAACATATTTATCAGCCTAAAGTTCAAATTAAAACGAACGGAACCGCTACGACAAACACGTGAATATACAGAATCTTTATCTATTCATAGAGCGGTCTAATAGTTTGAAACTAAAGAACGAGTCAAAACTCACGAACGACGACTGACAGATATTAAAGTGGCTTTTAGAAACGTTAATTATTCAGTGTCAAAAAAGGGTTATAAATTAGTGTGAAGAACAAAGATCTCAAGTTATAGTTAGACGTCAAAAATTAGAGACAGTTTTCAATACGAACTACCACCAGCCATAAAGCGGATATGCTGTTCAGTTGTATAGACGGATGAGTGTCACCCAAAAACCCAGATTTCTGTCTTAAATCTAGATGGTTCATCCAAAAGTAACATACGCACCAACTTTCATGTAAAGCAGAAAATTGAACCATGAGGCTACTTACAAGCATAAAGTTGTATTTGAAGAAGGCTAGATGAGTACAAGATTGTTACTAATTATTGTATTTAGGCAGAAAACTTTTATATACGGAAATAAGTGCATACGCCAATAAATTAAAAACTATGAAATAGAATTGTCTTGCATATACCTCTTCCGTAGTCTCTAAACTGTTATTTCCAGATGCATGTCCGAGAGAATATGATTTTTCCAGAAAATTCTTCTTAAGAGATTCCACTCGACTTCGTCTACGAGCATTTTGACTATCAAAATCAAAGTAAGTGCGAATCAACTCGTCGTCGCTATTCAAATAAGGCAGAGACGAAGCAACGTACTTGTCACTCCACTTCCGAACGTTGCATCCGCATCCTAAAGCCTCAGGTGCATCGAAAAATTCATCCTCATCAGAGCTCATTTGCGCAACGCCAATCCAAACAACGCACTTTTTAAAGGTCAGTGACTTCAAGTGTAGGTCAATGTAAAATGAAAGTTTTATTCTTTCAAAGAAATTGAACGATCTTTATTATGCAAAGTCATGTTTTTTTCCAATCTTTCAATGAATCACGAAATTCCTTTGCTCGAAATTTTTTCAAAGCTATCTTTGGGTTTCTTTTTATCTATTACGAGTATATTTTCAATAAACCGCTCGTCAGTTTTACTTCGTCAGAGATAGTGGCTTCTAGACTGTGTTGAAGAAAGAACTAACAGATGAATGAGAAACGTGGATGTTAGAAAAGGTCAACGTCGAAAGTGTCTGATCTCTTTTTACCCCGTGGACTTCCATATTCGGAGGTGAAGCCTTTCTATTTGGAGAGCTTCAAGCATCAGAAACTTACCATAAAAAGACCATACCTGACCACCTTTGAGCATTTGTCTTTTTGGCTTTGTGGCCACGACCCCAGTTCACTAAGACGACCACCAGCCCAGCTTTCCCTTCAGATCCATCAAGAATTATTTTTCGACGATGTGGGCAGCCAAATAGGACATTTACACTAATACTACTGATAACATCTGAAATCACCTTGTTCCTGATTAATTCCCTCAAATGTATCTTTACAACTCCGTCATCTTCATGATTAACCCTTCTTGCGTGTTTTGATCACAACGCGTCACCAATGCTAATGATTTGGGTTAACGAAATGTTATTCTCGGTCTCCTGAAGCCACACTCTAAACTACATACTGCAGCTTTTAGGGATTGAACTCCATGTCAGATAGGACAACAGGCTTCTTTGGCTTGGACAAGAGAATCTCTCGCCATCAACGTATACCGCGTCTCTAAAACGCGCGTACAGAATCCTAGTACGATCATCTGTTTGGTCTCGACCTGTCAGTACGAAGAATCGTCGTGATACTAACTTCATGTACCTGACGAATTCGCCTGTACTTCCCTTGAACTCGTTGGTTTTAGTATAGCTTTAAGCTTACAAAGCAGAACAAGTTGTATAAGACCGGATTCCAATAGACAGTCGATTGTTGGCTGTCCAACCAAGCATCGTCTCACGTGGTGTCCTCCACAATCGACTCATCGGTAAACTCAAAAAGACTACATTACCATTAGCTATTGTTAGAACGTTTCAACGTCATGCTCTGATTCGAGCACTTACTTGTCTTTGTCTTATCAGTAGAAGAAATTGCAGCAATAAAACTCCTAGTGTTCAGCTTAATGATGAGATAGTTAGGAATATATTTCAGGAACAACTGTAGAAGGATTTAGTCAACCAATGAAATGATTTCTACTGGTAACTTAAGTCGAAAGATAAGAGAAAGTCAGTAGTCCGCTGAACTAATAGTTACTTGAAAACTCACCCCGTCTGTGTTTGAACACAATGAGTAGCAGAAGCAGCTCGGACACTGCATTTCGCCGACTGGTGTCACTTGTTGCGTAGACTAGATTTCCTCCTGTCAAGTGAATGATAGGTTTACTGAGCAGCAATTCGTTCATTCCTTGTTTATAACTGTGAAACATGGTCATTGAAATAGAAGATATTTGTAGGTAACTTGTATCCTATCATAGGTGTCTTTAAAGAGTTGCTCGTGTATTTCGGAACTACAGTGTAAGCAGTCTGAGTTGGAAATAGGGTATTAGGTAACCGAGGCAAATAGATTGATGAGGTAGTACAACTTGAACAACTGGGGTGAACCGAGCATGTATTACGCACGCCCGACCACTATCTTATTCGACGGGCGATATTGTTGGTGTTGTAAGTTGGAAGAAATCCAAGGGCAGCCAAACGGAAACATGGCTCCAGTTTATGACATTATCGACGATTGCACTGAGCTATGCAGATAAGCGTTGACTATTTGACTGGGATCCGCATGATTATCATAACAGGCTGCTAAGAATTTTGTCAGATGCAAATAACCGGTTCAAAGCCGTGGCGACCTTCGGGGAGGATCTGGCTTTCGTCTAGATGTTTAAACAATTCCGTCGAGGTGATCCTTTCTAGAATCTTGGTAACCACTCTGGTTAGGCTTACTGATCGATAAGTCTGAGGTTTGGATCATGTTTTAAAGACAGGAACTATTATGGCGTTCTTTCTGTTAGGCCTGTTGTATCTACTTATCCCTCAATTTTTTCGGTTCCTACTATTATACTACCTTTGAACTTGGCTCAATAATTAGCCCAATCTTTTGTGAAGAAAAGCTAATAAATTTCCATATTAATAGTGATAGTCATCATTTTCTCGATCCGGCTTTCTTCAAATCTCACGTTTATTTCAAGACAACGTGTCTAGATCCTAAAATAAATTTAAGGCGGCCGACTGCCGGTAGTTTGGTGTGCGGAGATAAAGCATGACATCTGTTCGGGGAGTTTACATACATCAAAGTATAATAGCAGTTGTATATATATATATATATATATATATATATATATATATATATATATATATATATATATATATATGAGCATGGATCTTTATTCCATTCACCAGCATACATCCAGAAGATGGTTAATAAGGATGAAGTCAAAATAGTTAACGATATTGTGCTAGGTCTAAACGACTGCTGAGGGAGATTAACATTATTTGGATAACAGAATGAATGAGTGTGTGTTTACATGTGATCGGTCTTATATAAATGGTAAAAGTATATAATTTAAGTCCAGGTTAGTATAAGTACATCAGTAGACCAGTACTATGAACTTGCTGTGGTACGACAACCTAGCCTAAGAGACATTATTGAAAATCACACCATTGTCTACTCTGTTTCGCCCTATAGTGATGATCAGTAAGGCGGTATTGTGGAATCATCAGAGAACACATCCAACGTAGTGATGATTCATTTAAAACACAATTATATGAACGAGGAATATCCTTTTCAATAATTCCTCAGCAGGTTATACAATTATAAATCCAAACTGATAATACATAAAGTTGGCCAGATTTAAGACAGAATGCATCATTTAAAATTATAATATGTGAACCAAGAATTATTTGTTATATAACATCAAATCAAATCGTTATTGTTGGAGCTGAATAAAATGGAGTGTTAACTTAAATCTTTTTATAAGCGAAATGATAACAATAAATATGGTCAACATGGGGTGAGAGAGAAAATAATAGAATAAAAATCAGAAGTTTATTTTATACAAGGAGCAGGAGGATACCTTGAGTGGTCAGGCCTCCATGGCTTATCCATGCCGTCTCGACTAAGTGATCTCCTGGTGACCTTTATCGACCTTATCTAAGTGCTTGGTGGCTAATTTTAGTCTTCCCAGTCATTGTAACCTGACCTCCTACGATCGAGCGGTTAACATCGAATGTCACAACATTGGTACCAAATAAAAGACATGATATAGAAATTCCCAGATCTGCTTAAAGACAACCCAATTAGATCCATACGGGTGCGCCTTAGGAACATTCAAAGACCGTGTAACGGAAAGAGAATGATGAAAATCCCTCTGCAGCTTCTTTGTTCAACAGTATTGTCATTTATTTGTTCCTTCTCCTTGCTGTGTATTTTAACCTTTGTTCCGATCTCGTTTAACCATACCTTTTGTTCTTCAGTCTCCCTCGTTCGAGCCTTTATTATGTGATTTTGATTGAAGACTTATCTCTTGTTACCTAAGTTATCGCTGCATGTTGCCGGACCATTGACAGAAAGGTCGTGTTTGACTACGCCCAAGGTCACGGCGTGGTTCAGTATGTGACTGCTAACCTTCTGACTGCCTGCTTGGGAGGATTGCTGGAATCCCTGCAGATAGATGTTTGGTCCCATCTTGTTGGGGATATTTTTATTGATTTTCGGGTATCAAACCCTTAGTATTACCTGGTTCTCTCATTGTTAAGCGCGCTACTTTGCGTTAGAGAAACTTCTGACTGTATGACACAGGCTGTACCGTTTGAGGTATTTTGTATTTTTGATGTAATTTGTTCTGTTTTCTAAATTAGAAGCGTTTATATTGAGCACAGAGTTTGTGTTTTGATATAACATAATACGAGTATCTCAAAAACGTGTTGTGAGCTATACAAAGGAACGTGGTCTGGTCTAATCGGATAAATTTTGGGTTCGTCAGTCCGTTGTTCTAACCGAATATTGGTTGTTCGGTCGCTACAGACTGTGAACACATCTAAAGGTAGACACAGTAGAAGAGGCGATCTTTTTCAAGGCTCTCCGCGTCTTCTCCCTCATGAGTGTCACGGGTGTAGTATCTACACACAAATCAAGAATAATTTCAGTGCAATTGTTCTCGACAGCCAAACCAGAACTAGTGGACGGAAAACGATACTTGAATCTGCTTAGTCGCTAATTACAGAAAGTTCATTCACTGGCATAACAAATACTGTCAACAAAGTTACTTACAACTGTTTCATCAGAGGTACTTCCGCTAAATATTCTCGTCAACGCTGAGCTCTAGTTACGATCGTTAATCCTAGATACAAAAACAAATGTGATCAAAGCCACGATATGAAGATGCTGGTACAAAAATGGAGTGCTAACACGACCAACAAGATCAGTAGTATTGGCATCTCAACTGTCTTGATAACGATCTTGAAGTGCATGAGGTAAGGCGTGCCTTCTGAGTCTGAAGTGTTTTAGGTTATCTGAATACAGGTAGGCCAGCATGGTTTCCAAGCACTCGGATATTAAGACAATCTGCTGATGTTGAAAAGCCATAAAGTTCTCTTCTAATGACGTACATTCTGCTCTTTTTTTAGCTTTCTTGGTGTATATGTCAGTTTGTTTTCTGCTCTGTAACATTTTCTGAAAACCGTAGATCGATTGGTTTTATTGAAAAGTTTGATAATCCGTCTAAATCACCGTACTATCGAAGGATGAAGAAGAAAAGCCTGATAGCATCTTATTGTTGCGATATCTTCCTTCTGAAACACTAATTCAACCCGCGGATTTCCAAGAAGCAAAGCAGAGCTTGTGTAACAAAGAACTCTCTTTCACGACAAAATTAAGCACA